TTTTTCATTGTCATTTCACACTATAATCTCTCATTAAATTTATTACTACAAGCAGAAAAAATTACATACTTTATAATCATGTGGTTAATACTGGCACTTTATATTTGTAAAGTTCCATCGATGCCTCTTGATGTCAGAGCTGAAATGAGAACTGCAATTGCTGCAAATATCACCTGGTTAGCACCGATGGAACCAAGGGGACCATTAGATGAGATTCAATATGAATTGTTGTACAGTACAGATGGTAGTAGTTGGTCTATCATTACAAGTAATATTGGCCACACTGTGGAGAGATATTACATATATCTCTATAATCTACAACCTGCTATGCCTTATACATTCAAGGTATGTTACAAAAGATAATAACAACTTGTCAATTGTTTGAATCATTGTCAGTCTTTTGTTTTGTGTTCTTGGACTTTGATTTAAAGGGTGGCGGTTGTCATGCCACGCGTGAGATATATGGGTCTCATAAACAATGATTGCGACTTTAACCGTTGCGCAGATCAACGTGTACAAACTGAGATTTTACCAAGCTTTAGTTAGGTATTTATTAGGTGATTGGAAGGTATCACTGGCTAGGTCAAACCTCATACTTGTATTCTATTAGAAGAGTGCATTTGAATGTAGGAAAATCAATGTTTATCAACACAAATGTCAAACATGCACAATGCAATAACTACAACCTTTAATGACTATAAATGCCTGATTCAGTAGGACACTTTGACAAACTAGGTTGTCATAATACCACCTTTATAGGATCACTGTATTGTTGTATATAGGTACGAGCCTACCCTGCTTTACATGATGAATATACTGAGAGTCTTCATGTAGAAAACACTACATTTCAAGTGCCAGGTCCGGTTACCTTACTGTCAAAAACTGATACAACATTGAATATATCATGGACATCACCAACAGATGGAAGTGTTAATTTACATGTATTTAAATATCAGAAGGTGAGTATGGTATCATTACATTGTATAGGACTATAACTTATTTAGAAACCTTGTAAAGTTATGTAACAGTAGTATATATGTATTAGACTTAGTTGAACACTGTTAAGATCTTATCTAGTAATCACTACTTAATGCTGATTGGCCTCATTCATTTAGAAACATTTTAGTTTCCGCTCGGACGCAGTCTGAAAACGGGGTCTTATGTTTTGACTACAGTGATTCCTAAGCTTTCTGATATATCAGTTAATATCTATTATATCTATTGTTTGACAGCCTGGTGAAGTATTATGGCAAACACAAATTCTTCCAGGTGGCATAACAGAGAGCAATGTGACATACTATGAGCTAATTGGTAGTGATAAACCATTACAACCAAAAACACTTTACAGAGTACAAGTTGCTATTATTTATCATTCCCATGAAGATTTTGAATGGCCTGAACACTTCAGATCTTTTGAAACCCTTGGTGAGTTATATTTACTATTCCTATGAATATACACTAATAAACATGAACACTTTCAATGCTATTGTTAGTTTAATGGTGAGAACACCGCCAATCTACTGTGTAACCAAGGCTTCAGAGATGATCATAAAATAATGAACAGCCATTTTGGATTTATAAACTCTGATGGTATTATATTGAAATAACCAGCACCATTTTGGATCCATATCTATTG